TAGTTTTTTAGGCTTTAAGTGATGTGTCCTGTGTTGTTGTTGTTTTAAACCTTGCATTAATTTTTGCTTTAAATGTATTGTAACTTTTCCCCCTTACATTGTTGTTGTTGTTGTTGTTGTTTTAAACCTTGCATTCATTTTTGCTTTAAATGTGTTTTAACTTTTTTCCCTTACGATGTAATAAAGTTCATCTCCTTCTTAGATAGGATCTGGCCTGCCCACCTATCTGCTTGATTCCCCACTTAAGCAAGGGAAATGGAAGAGGTGGCAACTACAGGTACTCACTCAAACTTGTCGTTTTTGGAAGAGGTAGCTGTGCTACGTATCAGGCAAAATCCAAAAGGGAAAACAAGACAAGACAAAAACATGTGGCACCTTAAAAACTATTACATTTTAATATGAGAAGTGGATGGGATCCACAAAAGCTCACATTAAAATATAAGATTCAGTCTTTAAGATGCCATATGTTTTTACGTTTTTATCTTGTTTTGTTTTGTTTTGTTTTTCCTTCGGGATTTTGCCTGATGTACTGATTCAAAGTGATATAAAAGTAAGCTCCACTTTCAGATCTTCATAGAGGCTAGCCAGGGCTTAGGTTTTACAAGAGCCTGCCTGTAAATGAACATGTGGTTGGTTGGCAGTGTGCTACCCAATTTCTGTGAAAAGAAATTATTGTTTCCCAAAATGGGTTTTAACTCACTGACCACACCGGTAAGTAAGCTCAGCTGGAAGCTATAGTTAAGAACAAGTGATGTTCTGCCAGTTTCTCATTCCAATAGTAGCTTGTTACTGCCCTTGTCCTGTAAATATGTGTGTGTTTTTTCACCTCTTTGTATAAGTAATGTTGAAAAATGCCTGACGTAAATTATTTTCTTTTAAAATCTCCTTTTTTTGCTACAAGAGCCACTTTGGAAACAGTGAGAAGAGTGTCCTTGAGTCTCTGTCTCATGGATCTGAGCAGATGCTTACAGCCATAATTTTGTGAAAGGTCAGGGATAAGAATGTAATTGTCACATATAGTACTTTCTGCATACAGTTTTCTTCTGATCCCAATGCTTACCACTGAACCCTCGGTCATGGTTTTTCTGGGAGTGTGGTATACAAAGGTAGTTGCTCCATTCACACAACAATCTGCTGTGTGAGTGGTTCGACATTTGACATTTGAAAAGAGAGCTTAAGGATGTCCCTAGTCCGTCATTATGTAAGTGGAAGCCCTTTCGGTTTCAACCTTTGTGCTCTCAGGCTGCACAACAAAGATAAAGCAGAAGTGTACTGGTGCTGCATTATGTTGGGCACCCAACAGGATTCTGTCCAGAGACATTCTGGATTACACTGCATGCCTCCGAAGAAGTGACCTACATTCCATGAAATCTCATGCTAAAGACTGTTGCTCTTTTTTTTTCCTAATAAATTCTAAATTTTCAGAAAACAGCTTTGTTACTGTATGTCCACTTTATTTTAGAAGTGAAGTAAGAAAGACTTGTTTTGTTTGTTATGTGCCTTTAAGTCAGAGCGGACTAATAGACACCCCAATAGGCTTCCAGGATATATGAGATAGTTAAGGAGTGGTTTCCCCGGTTCCACTCCCCCAGTGAGCTTCCATGACTCAGCAGGATTCAAATCCAGGGCTCCTGGGGCCTTGTCTGTCACTTTATCTGCACACCAGGTATCGAGAAAGACTTAATGGTGCATAAACCATGGAAGGTTTAGCAGGTTGATAGTTGATACATAATTATAATGATTTACACATTTCAGGAGAAATGCTTTTTATATGTCTACAATTCACCCTGTTTTTATCCATGAGACACAGAGAAGCAAGAAACTGCTGGATGGTGTGGTAGAGCATGAAAACTCTCCTTCAGATCCACCCACCACCATGCTGTCCTTGCAGTCAAAGTGGTTGACATACCAACATCAAAACTGTTTTTCCTTTCTATGTGTAGCAGGACATAGCACACTGTTTTGTACCAGTGCTGTAAGATGTAAATCTGACACAGTGGATGTTTAATGGGCATGTCCTTTATGACATCTCTAGTGATACACAGTGGACTTTTGATGAGCATGTTGTATGACATCTCCTGAGACAGGATCATCTTCTGGAGTGCAAAAAAAACCCATGTTTAACAAATCCTTTTTAATTATTATTTTGTAATGAGATTAAAACAAGAGAACAAAATGGCTGAGTGCTAAACTCTTTACTCTTACTGACCGAGTGATGATTCTATAGCATCACACATCAGATCATGTTAAAACTGTTGCAGAGTTTCGAATTTTGGTTAAATTCTTTTAGCTGCACACCAGAAGTGTAGGGACTAGCAGAGCAGCTTCAAGTTCAGTTTCATCCCTTTTCCTCATTAACTAGCGGTTACAGTCTCAATAACTCACTCTGAGGCATTGGAGAAAGAATATAAAGGTGTCATTTACTTACAATTGAAGAAATCACATAGCAGACTAAGAACAAACTGACTGCTTGCAACAACAGGCCTCAACAGACTCACTGACTGCTTTGACTGACTCCAACAGACAAAGGGGGGGGGGGGGGGAAACATTTGCAGAAAAGTGTGGCTCTCCTTGAATTCAGAGGCAGTGAAGGAACCATTGGTTAGCCCTGTTAGAGATTGACAGTCACCCCAGCCCATAAAGGCCCTTCCTGGCATCACCTACTAGAGGCAGCATGCGAGGCTGCAATAACTCCAACAGAAACAAAATTAAAAGGGGTAATATTTTAATTTTTATGTAAACTGGCAAACTTGCTCTCATTAACCTGGTAGGCTACAAGGAAGTAATCATTTTAGTGCTAGACCTGCGGTAAAACATATTTTTAACACAAGGGCTTGGCAGGAATAAATAAAAGGAAGTACTTGATTGTTCTCAAAATTGTAGTTTGAAATGGCTGGTTTTATGATCAGAAGGGGGTGCACGGAGGGGGCAGCAAATATGCTGGGAGAGTGTGTGAAAAGGGCAGAGGGTTAGGGTGGAGAGGTTGACAGAGAAGAGGGTTGGGAGAAACGGATGAGGCATTATGAGAAAATATTGCTGTTTTTATCATCCGTGTGGACAAGGACATCAGAGCATCCTGGAATGAAAAAAACCTTGAGTGTATGGCTGTGTAGTGCAAATAGGACCATTATGAACCACAAATACAGGGATTGTACAGTAAGGTGTTTCAGATCACTATGTCTAGATTAGTCCTTGCTTCCCAGTTAATGTGCGTTTATGCGACACTGGCACAAGCATGGGAAAGGGCTGGCCTTGGGGTCAATCCGGTCTTAAACATTTGCAGAGGTGCATTTCCTAGGCCTGTCGACCCTGCAACCCCGCTTTGTTTTTCTTTCAAAATTGAGCAAGCAGGTTGTTTCTGTTTTCCTTGCTCGGTCCTCTCTGTGGGCGGCGGGACAGGCCGAGCTCAGAGGGAGATGGTAACCAAACAGGGAGAAAGCACCATTGGCCATTTTGCCCAAAGGGCTACTGAAAAAGAGATAGTAGGGACCCCTTCGACCTTACAGTGTGCTCTATTTTGTTATAGCTTAACTTCCTTTCTTTCCCCTGTACATTCAAACTTCTCACTTCCCTTTCCCTGTTCTTTTTTTTTCCTTTTAAAAATGTTTAAACAATCAGTAAATCAGATATGGAAGTGGTGACGGTGAACGGTTTTCTGTGAAAGACAAAGGGATGGACAGACTAGTTCCCTGAAGGGAATGGCAGAAGAAGGAAACCAGGGGACATGAACGCCTTTCGTCATCAGCAGCTGTAAAATTGGGAAGGAAGGTTAAAAAAAAAAACACCCCACATTTTCAGTAAATAATAACAACAGTAGAAAGACAGTATTGGAGGGAAAGGAGACCCCAGTGAATCCTGAGGCTGACAGAGCACCATTTCTTATTGTGTTTCTGCTGTCAGGTGTGCAACAGACTTTTCCACACACTTGAGGAGAAATATACTAATTTCTCTCAACATGGCCTCTCTCTTACACTAATGGGTAAAGCTTAGCTGTGTAGGAGATAAAAGGGCAAGCCCGACCTTTTGCCTCCCCTTTAAGGAGGAAAGGAAGCCCAGAAAAAATGCTTCAACCCAGAGAAAAGGAGTTCATGAGTTCCCTTGGTTAATTTTTTTATAAGCCAGTAGCTCTCTTCCTTTCTGTCTCTGACAGGAAGAAAGGAATTCCCCTTTTAAAAACTGAGCTTCTTTTATCATGGCTTTATCTTGCCCCCTCATGTGACATTATACAGTACACCAGAGCCCAAGCTCAACAACCTGATGCTACAGAGTGCACATTTTATTTGTCCCATCATTTCTTCTGAGGTGGGGAAACCTAACTATTTCTTCTTTTTTATGTGTACTGAAATAATTCCATAAAAAAGGTAAAGTAAAAAAAACCCCCAAGGCTATCAATATTAGAGCGTCTTCCTCATGGGAGCGAAAGAGAGGCTACTCAGTAGATAATCATTACAGTAATTTCCCAAGTGCAATCAACAGAAAGAAATGGCTTGTACAATGTTTGAAAAGGGGAACGACTTTATGACCTTTGGGAAGATACTTTGCTGGTGAATAAACATTATGGGGAAATGAGCCGTACTTTTGCTTAGGCTGAGAATTACAGTGGTGCCTCGCTAGACTATGATAATCCGTTCCACTGAAATCGCTGTTTAGCGAAATCATTGTCTAGCGAAAAGCATTTCCCCATTGGAATGCATTGAAACCTGTTTAATGCGTTCCAATGGGGAAGAATCGTCGTTGTCTAGCGAAGATCGGCCATAGGAAAGCCGCTTTGCGAATCGCCGATCAGCTGTTCGAATCGCTGTCTTGCGAAGCTTAGGTCCCGAAGACTCCTGTTTTGCGAGCGCAGAGGGAGCTGTCAAAATCGTCGTCTAGCGAAAATTGGTTTGCAAAGCAGAGACCAAACATTGTCCAGCGAAATTCCCCCATAGGAATCACTGTTTTGCAAATCGCTATAGCGATCGCAAAAAGTCAATATCTAGTGAAAAAACTGTCATGCGGGGTAACTGTCTAGCGAGGCACCACTGTACTTTTTTTAGAGAGAACAGGAAGAAGGACATAAGCAGGTGCCTTTTAAAACAGGCAGAGTAGATCAACATTCTGCCTTTGGTTGCCTTTAGCATTGTACAAAAACGTGCTATAGGAGCTCAAGGAGCCATCTTGCCTAAACGGTTAGCTGCATAAAAATTGGGGCTAGCCACTGGCTTTCTGCAGTCCTGTGCCTGCAAATGTCTTCCCCCACTCCTTTCAGTACTCCCCCCCCCCGATAAATGCCCCCAACATTGTTCCATACATCTCTGCCCAACCACATACTTTTAAATCAAGGAATATCCTGGCAGAATTTTGTAATTTATTTCATCCCAAGAAGTGTCATTTGGCTGTTGGTTCTTTGCAAATGCTGCCCCCTGGTGTTCATCTGGAGGACTGGTGGCACTCTCCCATTTTGTAGGATGATGTAGTAGACCGTTCTTTCTTGTATTTGAGGCTCCATGCTGTATATTACACACAGTGGCGAACACCATGGTTCAGGAAACACCTCACCCTGAAATCTTTCCATGTTTCTATCTCTTCAAAGAGTCTGTCTCCTGGGCATGAGGTGGTCAGTACCATCTGACGGTGTCCATGGATGGTGTAGTTGGCATGCAGCTTTGAGCCCCTCACTGCACACCGCAAGAAATTGTTCTTCATCAATTCCAGGTCATAGGCACCTGGGAGGGCCTTCATGTAGTTCCCAATGAAGCTGACGCCATAGCCTTTGCTGTTGTAGCCCAGAGTGTGAGCACCGACCCAATGCCAACCTCGTCCCTGGTAGACGTACCCGTCGCCTCCGATAACAAAACTGTGCAGGAATAAAAAATGAATGTTGAAGGAAAGCTTGTGGTGGAAATGGCTAGTGGGATTTATTTTACTACGTTTACTCTGGATTTTGGAACAAAGGTTTTTCTCTGGGGAAAAATAAAGATTTATCATCTGATCATGGAAGGATGTATGATTTCGCTGACTTTATTTTTTCAAATGAACAGGGCTTTTTGTAGATTAATTTCTCAGGTTACCTCTTTCACAGAAAGTAGCAAGACACCTTCCACTACAATGAGATGTGGCAGCTAATTGCCTTTAAAGTATATTTCCTGAAAATAAAGAACAATCTAGAATTTATAATTTTGTGCTGAGAAAGCAGACCTAACTATTTTTTAAAACGAATTGAGGGCCAAACTATACATTACAAAGACGACGCCGTGTCCCTTCATTTAGGAAGATGTTAGCATCTGAGAAATCAGACTCACAAACAACATCTGCTCTAGCTCCCGAAAACCAACCACAAAAGAAAGCAAACAAGCTTGAGATGAGAAAATCTGCTGTGAAACAACTTTTAGCACCCTAGATTCTCTCTTCTAATGACAGATGATCTAGATCTTATTGTTCAGGGCACAGAGGTGGAGTTAAACTCCACTGGACCCAAGGAGAACTACTGCTAGGTATGAATGACTGAAGGGCGTACTTTAAAGTCAATTTTGAGTTATGGCAAGCCTATTTCAGGGTTTTCCAGATAGAGAGTACTCAGAAATGGTTTGCCATTCCCTTCTTCTGGTGGTATCCTGGGACTGTGCAGCTTGCCCAAGGCCACATAGGCTGGTTCTTCTCCCTGGAGGTGCAGTGGGAAATTTAATTTCCAACCTCTGGCTCCACAGCCAGATACCTAACTCATTGAACTATCCAGCCAGCACTTCTAGGTAAGGCTGTGATTAATAATCTTGAAGTTTTGGCCCTAAATGAACAAGTTTCTCTTGACACATCAAGACACTGTTGAAAAAGCTGCCAGCAGGTCAAAGATTTTTCACTGCTGCATGGGAATGGATAAAACAGTACTTTTTCCTATTAGCAAAAATTAAATTAGGATTTTTTAAACACTGTAAAGTTTTGCTTTTGAAAAACATATGTTTGCATAAGACACAACTTTCCCACACAACGCAGAAGGTTCTTTGTACGCGCACAAAAATGCTACCATAGAATTTTTCACTAAAGTCCTGAACTGTTAAAAATGCACAAAAGGTTTGTGTATTATTCTATGCTATTTTAATATTGTAGTGCAACGATTGTGTCATAAACATATTGATCACTCTATAGCGCAAGAGAAAGTTGCATAGTTTACCCATTAAATGTTTTGTTTTTCAGTGAGCTCACATCTGCGACTAAAGTGGTAGTGTCCAGATTAGAGATGTGTGCTTCGTATTCATAACCAGGCAACAAATATAAAGCACAGCAGCACAGCTGCCACTGTGGTCCAGTCCTACCTCCCAGCTCGGTTCACTTACTGGGCTCTTCAGTGTGCATGCGTCCAACAGCGACAACATATAGGTTTTTAAAAGTAATCATGCAAGTGATTCTAACTGATTTGTAGGCCACTCCACTGGACCCAAGGAGAACTGCTGCTAGGTATGAATGACTGAAGGGCGTACTTTAAAGTCAATTTTGAGTTATGGCAAGCCTATTTCAGGGTTTTCCAGATAGAGAGTACTCAGAAATGGTTTGCCATTCCCTTCTTCTGGTGGTATCCTGGGACTGTGCAGCTTGCCCAAGGCCACATAGGCTGGTTCTTCTCCCTGGAGGTGCAGTGGGAAATTTAATTTCCAACCTCTGGCTCCACAGCCAGATACCTAACTCATTGAACTATCCAGCCAGCACTTCTAGGTAAGGCTGTGATTAATAATCTTGAAGTTTTGGCCCTAAATGAACAAGTTTCTCTTGACACATCAAGACACTGTTGAAAAAGCTGCCAGCAGGTCAAAGATTTTTCACTGCTGCATGGGAATGGATAAAACAGTACTTTTTCCTATTAGCAAAAATTAAATTAGGATTTTTTAAACACTGTAAAGTTTTGCTTTTGAAAAACATATGTTTGCATAAGACACAACTTTCCCACACAACGCAGAAGGTTCTTTGTACGCGCACAAAAATGCTACCATAGAATTTTTCACTAAAGTCTTGCAGTGTGAAAAATGCACAAAAGGTTTGTGTATTATTCTATGCTATTTTAATATTGTAGTGCAACGATTGTGTCATAAACATATTGATCACTCTATAGCGCAAGAGAAAGTTGCATAGTTTACCCATTAAATGTTTTGTTTTTCAGTGAGATCACAACTGAGATTAAAGTGGTAGTTTCCAGATTAGAGATGTGCGCTTCGTACTCATAACCAGGCGACAAATATAAAGCGCAGCAGCACACAGTCCAGTCCCACCTCCCAGCTTGGTTCACTTACTGGGCTCTTCGGTGTGCATGCATCCAACAGTGACAATATCGAGTGTTTTTAAAAAAGTAATCATGCAAGTGATTCTAACTGTTTTGTAGGCCATCTGCTATGTACATCTGCATCTTTTGGTTGAACAATTGGTCACATATATCTAACACACACACACACACACATATATGAGACTTTTATGGGGAAGAAAATGGAAGAGGTGTTTCTTTCAGGGTACATGATTCATGTACTTCTCTTGCTTTCCAGAAAAGAGCCTCTGAAACATTATTAACAGAAGAGGGCTACAAGTAAGTTTTATATTCTTTTGTGTTTCCCATTTCCATGTAGCCTTCCCTTCATCCTGTTGTGCGTAAAATCACCTGGGCAGTGCCTACAGTGGCCCAAGTGGAAAGCCAAGAAAGAAGGATATCTGCCTTTCAGGCAGTGTGTCCCTCCTTCCTTCACCTTGGAGGGGAGCCCTGCTGTCTGATGGGAGGAGGCTCAAGCAAAGCAGGATAGACAGTGTGAACAGGAGGAAGGGAGAGAAGAGAGGAAAAGGGAGGAGAAGGCGACAGCGGAGGTGGAAGTGTCAGGTCAGTGATGGTTGTCCTCACTGGCCAGAGAGGACCTGAAATAGCTAGGTTGCACTGCTCACCTGTAGCCAATGTCATCCCAGCCACGGATATCCTGGTGGAATTGCTGCATGGAGCGCATGTCCGCTGTACATGCTGAGAAGGTTCGGCATGGCTTTGACGGGGTGCTTGTATGGTGGATGTATACAAAGTGTAAGGGCAGCTTGAGCTGGGTTGGTGTTCCTTTGTAGGGCCGAGCCCCCCACATGCAACGAGGGATGACTGCAGGACACTCTGGGGTGGGGTGGGGGAAGGATGGAGAAAAACACACAGGTTGAGGAGCAGAACAGCACACCCCCACACCCCTGCCTAGCATAGATGCAAACATGGCCAAACGCTCCATTGGAGCACAGCATTCAGGTCAGATCTAACTGCATACAATTGCCAAGAGGTGTGGAAAGAGCCCCATGCAAGGCACAGAGGGGCTTTTCTCTGCATGCATTTCGAGTTTAAACTCTACATTGGTGGGATTCTAGGGTGGGTTGGTTTTTGTTTTGTTTTGATTTTGACTATTATATATTACATTCACAGTAGCGTCTATGGTTCAGGAGCAGATCAAAAAGTCTTGCTTGCATCCTAGGCCTGCCATTGTTAAGGGAGACCTGTGTTCTCAATTGCCCATGCGTAGGAGCAGGGAGTGTCTTCCAAACATATAGACACTGTTTCCACATGGCAAGTATTTTCTTCCTTTGTGTTTTGTGTTCCCTTTTTTCACCAATCACCCTGCGTTCCATCTAATGAACTGAGAACTCGGGGACAAGTACTCATATATCTGTTAACAGTGCAGCTACTGTCAGCCATCCTGAGTTCTAGATTAGAACGGACTGCACGTCTAAAATGTGGTTTGTTTTGAATCAGTGCAGTGCCACAGTGGGGTGAGGACAGGGCAATCGCTCCAAGCCCTTAAAAGGTAGCAAAAAAACAAAACAAAACAAAAACAAAAACAAAAAAAATCAAGAGTGAGACATACCTACATACAATGCCATGAACTCTTCCGCACCCTGCCTTGCAAGTAATGACACTTCTTCACTCGTCATGTTTTCAAAGAGGGATGCAGTCTCATTCTGCTGTTGAAGTAGCTGCAGGGAACTCTCCACTTGCTCTCTCAGCTTCGCCTCGTTCACCAGAGCTGCAAAGTTTCTCCTTCGGAAGTTGCTCCGCAACTGGTTTTCTCCCTCCACACCTTCTTCACCATAGTAATCATTCAGCAGGGCACTGAGGTTGGATGGTAGGCCAGCTTTTTCTGCCACATAAAAGCCCAGAATAAGGCCATCCATGGCACCGTTGATAAAAGCATCCGTAAAATGTGACGGAGGACCCATCAAAGTGAACGTATGGGGTGCTGAGAGGTTATCCCAACAGCCGTTGGGACCTAAGGCTACCTGGTTCTGTTTAGCGTGAAAGAGGAGAAAGGACATGGCGAGGTCCATGGCGATTGTTGTGGCAAAGAGGGGGTCTAATGCGAGGTGAGGCTTTAAATGAGAGCTGTTTGAGGGGCCAGTGTCCGAAGCCATGGCCAACCACGGCCTCTCCTGCCTCTTCTTGGATCCATTTGCTATTCCAACAAGAAGGGGTCGGGGTGAAATTGTAGTGCCATCAGGAGCCAACACCACTCCATGTTCTACCAGTGAGCCATCAACTGTCTGATTCCCCAGGCCCTTGAGGAAAGTCTTCTGCTCCTGGCTCAAGAAAGGCAAATCCAAGGGCATCAAAGTCATTGGGCCAGGAAAGAACTGGCACTTCTTACTTCCACAGTATGCCAGCTCCTGGAAAAGTTCAGCCACAGTCACATTTGGGGTGTCTTTCAGATAGAATTCCAGATCTTCCAGAATTCCAACCACTGAGTCCATGTGGAATGTCAGATTACCTGAAAAGGGCAGGGTGGAAAGATCACTCTGGCTTCTGGCAAGTAGGCAGTGTGATAGATCAGGCAAAAGACAAATTCTTAAAGAAAGCATGCTGCTTATATACCACCCCTTAGTGCTTAAAGCTGTCTCTGGTTGGTTTACAATTTATTCATGCAGGCTACACACTGCAGCCCCCGCTCCCCCAGCAAGCTGAGTATTCAATTTACCGACCTTAGAAGAATAGAAGTCTCAGGCAATCTCAAGCTACCTGAGCCCGCGATTGATCTCAGGTTGTAAACAGAATCTTTTGCTGCCGTATTGCAGTATAACCACTGCGCTACAAGGCTCCAACAACATTTGAGGCTAAATTCTTATGTGGAGTGTACAGATGACAAGTACCTGGAGCACAAACAGCTTTCTGGCATATGAGGCTTGTTTGCAATGATTTCAGCCCTGTTCTTATTCTGTCAGGTACCTGAGGGTGAAAAATATGATGAGCTACTATGTAGAAAAAAATGAATGTAAGTGTGTATGTGTGAAATTCCTGGTAGTTTGAATGATGTATACACAGCAGGCCTGGTGAAGTATGGCCCCAGTGGATAAAACTAAAAGCATTAGCAAAGAAATTTCATTCCCCTACACCTTTTTTTTGAGGGGGGGGGAAGAATATGAGATGTTTCAGCTCAAATATATCCTTTCCAAAATGATGAATTTCTCTATTGGGTCTCTCTTAGGACAAAGCAAACAAAATCAATCAATATTTAAAACTTGCTAAATGCCAGAAATATTCAGGTCCAGAGGAAACCATGTAAACAAATATTTATTTAACAGCAAGTGGTATAGCCTTTCCTATATTCTCTGATTGTAACTACAGTCCTAATTTATAAAGCCAATGCTGAGGGAAAATATGAGCTGCAGTCCAGCAGTGTCTGGAGAGCCATATAGTCCCTGGCCCCAATTTGAAAGAGAAAACTGGATTGCGTTTCTCTATTTTAAAAGTAAAAATAGTACATGTGTTTCAAAAAATAGGGTACAGAGGACAATTTTCTCCTGCTTTTCAAAGCCACAGTCATTTAGCCCGTAGTAACCTTGATTCACTTCACAAATATATGCCATTCAATTGCCCTTAATAGGACAGAGGCTAAAGACATATTCTCATTTATCTGGGAGTATGTCCCAGACAAGAGGCTTTTGAAATATTGCAAATATCTTTTTGGAAAGATCCACTGGCTGCTGGAGCACGGGATGGGAGAAATATGGATCCAGATAAACTGGAAGCTGTAAAGCGAAAAATTGAATTTATAAAACATTGAGGTGCTGGGTGCCAGCAAACTAAAATGGACTGGAACAGGATCAAATTGTTCTGCTCTGGAAATGACAATTCCAGAAGAAATGGTAAAAGGTAAAGGTAAAGGTTCCCCTTGACAATTTGTGTCCCTCGTGTTCAACTCTAGGGGGCGGTGCTCACCCCCATTTTCAAGCCGTAGAGCCAGCGTTTGTCCAAAGACAATCTTCCGTGGTCACATGGCCAGTGCGACTTAAACATGGAACGCTGTTACCTTCCCACAGAGGTGGTCCCTATTTATCTACTCGTATTTGCACGCTTTCGAACCGCTAGGTTGGCGGGAGCTGGAATAAGCGACGGGCGCTCACTCCGTCATGTGGATTCGATCGTACAGCTGAAGATCTACAAACCTTACAGCACAGAGGCTTCTGCGGTTTAACCCGCAGCGCCACCACATCCCTTGAGAAGAAATGGAGTGGCTCTAATACTGAGGCAAGCATGGGGCAGACAGTTAGGGTCTATAGCACAAGATCTGACCGAATAATGTCAATCACACCCTGTGGAAAACCTATCAACATAACCATAATTCAAGTCTATGCTCCAACTAACAATGCTGAAGAAGATGAAACTGAAAGTTTTTATGAACTGCTGGATAACTCAGTGACTTAGCCTTCAGAGTGTGGAGCCACAGGTTAAAAGTTCAGTTCCCTGCTATACCTCCTTGACAGCGCCTGGACTTGATCATTCATAAGGTCCCTTCCAGCTCTGCAGTTCCAAGAATGTTGTTGTTGTTGTTAATTCAGGAGGAAATTAATCACGTACCAAACCAAAGCATGCTTATAATCAAGCTTGACTAGGATGCAAAAGTAGGGAACAAAGCAGAACCAAATGTTGTTGGAAAAATTGGCATAGGGGACAGAAATGGAGCAGGAGAACAATGTATAGAATTCTGCGAAGCCAACAATCTGTTTCTTGCAAATATATGCGTCAAACAACCAAACAGATGGCTGTACATGTGGACATAACCGGATGGCCAATCTAAAAAGCAAATAGACAAACCTTCATCCCAGAACACATCTACACCTTAATGTCCTGTCCAGCTCTGGGTCTGAACGGATGACACATTTGCCCTGCTCTAAACCAGCAGAGTAACCCAATGCCAGTTAGCTGTGATCATAAGGGAGACTGAATCAGCCTGTATACCTGACGAGAAATGTTGTGGGCAGTCAAACGAAGCCCCCAACCCTTGCAATTAGGGATAGCTGGACCAGCACAGGGAGGGGACTGAGATAAAGAGAGAGGGAGGGAAAGAGAAAGGAAAAGAATGTCACTCTGTTTTTGGTGAGGCCGAGTCATGTGCAAGCCATGGAATTTTTCCTACAGTGCTAGAACCAGATTTCTCTGGTCTTACCAGAGCAGGAAACTTGGACTCTTGTGATCTCAAATATCATCCCCCCACCACCTCTGTTCCTATCTCTGCTGCTCTGTCCACCTGTTCTTTTCAAGTGCACTTGTTTATCCCCCAGGAAGCTTGATTAACCCCATTTGACCTGGTCCTCAGGCAAATAACCCACACTCAAGAGAGGGTGCTGATCATGCCTTACCCGCTCTGGCCACAGAGGCACAAAAAAGTGCAGGCAGGAGTCCCAGCCCGATGAGGAACATCTTGTCAGCAAGGTGAAGAACGGCCTCTGATAGTGGAGCCAGCTGGCACCTGCGACTGGCAGGGAGAGAGGGAGGGGAAAGCAAAAAAACAAATCAATGACAAGGGGGATGGGCCACTACAGGAGGCCTGAAGGCCAATGGGGAAGGGAGGAGGAGACCTGTGCAGAGCATCTCCCCCCCCCATACACACAAACACACTATCATGAGTGAGGAAGCCCGTTGGTAAGCAAAAGAACTGGAACCCCGAGGAGCCTCCTCCTTTGAGCAGCAGTTGTGTACGCACTGCCTTTTCAGATACTTGCAGGTAGGGTTGTAGAACAATAGCGGAGGGCAATTCTATTGGTCCTGCCATGCAAATCAGGCTTTCAGGTTCTCATAGCATCTGGAGCGGAATATGCGAAACTGACATTGTTGCTCTGTCAGACACTTGGCTTGCTTTGCTGCAATAGATCTGTGAATATACTAGCGTGGTGTTGGTGTACACAAACATTGCCAAAGAGTACTCTACTGTTGGACCTGTTTTCATTCTATTTGGGTGAGAAAAGATACGTTCTTAACAACATGGGACTGCTCTCTAGCTTTACTCCTCTACATTCACTGGAAAAACACTAGACTGGTATTAAATAATGTTATTGTTGTTCAGGAGTGCAGTAACATTAACGTGCAGCACAGCAAATCGACATTCTACATGGCAATTCAAAAAATGGGGGTAGCCCAAATTAATAAATTATAATGCATTCTCGAAGGCTTATAACTTTGAAACTGGAATTCAGAATTTGGCACAGATGTAGCAGACAGTCTGTTCTTCCTCTGTGTGAAATTTGGGGGAGTTTGGGCAAAGGGTTTTTGACTTATGTTTTTTTTAAAGTAAGTGTTCTCCCATGTGGAAACATGCGACCCTAAACATTATCTTCTTTAAAATAGCTCATACAAATTGAAAAGACCAATCTTCCTTATCTCGAAAGGAAATGTTTTGTCCCACCCGCTTTTTAACATTTTGAAAGAAACCAGGCTGAAGGGGCTGAAATATTTATCTCAAAACCCCACAAAAAACAGAAACGCTTTTCAAAAGGGAATAAACAACCACACAGACCGAAATTGGGTGCAACTGGCTTGCCAGAAAGAGGACTCCATAGTGGATACATTGTTGCAGGTTCATGAGTCTGGAAGGGAGATGTTTGGAGAGCAATGAGATATCACAGAAACAGTCAAAAGATGGGTTGGTGTTTTTTTCCTTTTTTTTTTTTTTGAAGAGTTAAAAAAAACAGACTTGCTTAATCACAGAAACAGTCAAAAGATGGGTTGGTGGTGTGGTTTTTTTTTCCTTTTTTTTTTTTTTTTGAAGAGTTAAAAAACCCAGACTTACTTAAAAAAAAGTAATGGAGTGACAGTCCTCCAAAAAGGGGAGCATTTTGCCATACAAATCCAGAGAATTAGCATACAATTTTGGAAGGCATGTTGTTGTTGCTGTTGCTGCCGCAGTTTTCATTTAAGCACTCTCTGGGTGCTTTATGTGTGCAACATAATTATGCAAGGAACACCTTGGCCCCCAGGGAGATGGTACTCGTTTTACTGACCTCAGAAGGATGGAAGGCTGAGTCAGTCTTGAGCCGGCTACCTGAACCCAGTGGGATCAGGTCATGAGCAGAGTCTTGACTCAGTACTTCTGCAGCATTTCTGAATTACAAAAGCAGTTTTTCTGAGTGGTTTCAGTAAACATTCCCTCAGGGTTTCTGAGACGAGGCTCCCGACACAAGTCTTCAAAGGGGAAATCAACACCAGATTGGGGCTATCTGAACATTTGACCCTGTCAGGCAGACCCAAATAACTGACTTTAAGGGGGGAAACTTTTTAACTCCTTTCTAGCCATTAAAGGATTCTGTGTCAGCCTGTAAAAATATTTTAAAAGATACTAAAAATTCAGAAGCTCACTCGTTTAAACTGTGAAATTACAATTTTTTGCTTTGGAGCTGGGGATGGTCTTACTCAATGTTAACAGATATCCTATATCCTGTCATACCTTCAATCATTTTACCCGTCTTGTCATTATACAATTGATAATTAAGACACCAATGATGTTATATGCCATCATGTCAATATGTGGTGATTGTATGAGTTGTGTTAGGCTGTTCTCTCTTCTTGTTGCTCCCATTCTTAACAATATTGTATTTTCCATTAAGTTGTCTCAGGTCTTGCAAACTAACAGCTGTGTCTTCCTACAGTATATTGAAAGAAGGATACAGTGGGGTCTCGACTTACGAACTTAATCCGTATCGGAAGGCAGTTCTCAGGTCGAAAAGTTCTTAAGTCGAATCTGCATTTCCCATAGGAATGCATTGAAAACCATTTAATCCGTATCTGCTCTTTTCGTCCATAGAAACTAATGGGAAGCTGCTATTCCGCCTTCTGCCACTAGAGGGGGATATTTTTCTTTTTTCCTTTTAACCTAAGATGACTTAGCTTTAAAAAAAGGAAAAAAGAGTTCGTAACTCGAATCTAAGTTCGTAAGTCGAGTCCATATATTCCTATGAGAGCGCTTCATAAGTCGAAACGTTCGTATGTCGAGCCGTTCGTAAGTCGAGACCCCACTGTATTAGGTCTTCCTTTCTTCTTACTCCCCCCACCCCAAGTCACTTTCCCCAGCAATATTGTTTTTTCCAATCAGGTCTTTATTGTCATTTTATGTACATGGTAAGACAGACTCAGTTTACTCATTTTTGCTCTAGTGGGAGTTTAGGCTTGACTTGATTTGAGTACCCAATTTTTTTCTGGCTTTCTGTGGTATCTGTAAAGCTCTCCTCCAACACCAGATTTCAAATGAGTTGATTTTTAACTCCATCTTTCTTCACTGTCATTCTTTCACATAACATGGATGTTTTTGATCTTGGTTTCCAGTGACAATCTTTGCTAACTCCCAGCTCTCCATTCTATTATGTCAAAAGGTATGGGGATATCTTTTAGAAAACATGTGTGCAGCATATTTGTAGAGCTTTTGTTATGATATAGCTTTTCTTCCTCAGCTTGCCTAACTCAAAGAAAGAGTTTGGAAACTGGAACATAGCTTTCTACTCTGCATTCTGCAGGGCAGGCATGGCTACATCAGTTTACCTTAGAGGCTCTAGGGTGTCTATGTTTCATTCACTCACACTTTTGCTTCACCATTACATTAAGTTCAAAACAACCCTTCAAAATATTTTGGCAGAGAGAGACAACAGCCACATCCCAACTGTTTTTGCTTTGTCTTCCTCCAACAACAATGGCACAGATCATGTGCTCATCTTCTGGAGTCCTCTATCACTGGGTATGAGCACATGAGGGAAGTTTCTGTTGGAATTTGTATGTAATACAGGTAAACTTAAACTTCCATTTAAAAAAAGCCAGGAAATTCAGTTGTTCCAAAAGAAAGAAAAGAAAAGAAAAGAAAACAACTCCAGTTTGTGAATGTGGGATATTGTGCTTTTTTGCCCATGATTCAAAACTCCAAGAGATGGCCCAATATTGCTGCACAATATCATGCTCACATTGCCAGCAGGGGAAAGGATGCCGAGCTTTACATACCAAAGGACAGCCTGAATGTTAGCAACATTGATGAAGGAACAACTTAATAAAGGAAAAGCAAATATAGCAAGTCAAGATGGTTTACAGCAGGGGTCCCCAACCCCCGGTCCACGGCCTGGTGCTGGTCCGTGGGCTTCCTGGAACTGGGCTGCGGAGACGGATATCCATCCCCACCCCCACCCCCACACATGGTGGGCATGTCATGCTTGTGGAGAGGTGTGTCACGTTCGCAAAAGGCATGTTGTGCCTGTGCACATGCGTACAAGCACGACACTCCCACCCATGGGCGTGACATGCCCACCTGCGAATGCAGGGGTGTCCCCGCAACCCACACATAGAGAGCCTGCACCCCCCCAACCAGTCCACGGTCTCCGAAAGGTTGGGGACTGCTGGTCTACAGGATGCCCTCTTGTGCTCACTACCTTTCACAAAGTGACACCAAGCAAGGGAAGATCCCAAGCTGATTCCTTTTTTCATCAGTTAACCACTTCTCATTCAGACACAAAGCAATTATCCTCTCTGTGTGTGTGTGTGTGTGTGTGTGTGTGTGTGTGTGTGTGTGTGTGTGTTTTGGACACTATTGTATGAGGGGCAGCTTGTGGTAGAATCTGGACAGGACACCCCAAAATGTGAGTGTGTCTCCTTGGCTTCACACAAGAGCTACCTTGGCTTTATGCCAACCCTTCATTCTAGACACACCATTTGATGGCCTCAGCTAGTACTAATGGAATTGCCCCACCAGCAGCTTCCCATCCACCAAGCATCTGATAGAGGGATTTATCCTCCGACTCCACGTAAGAAAGCAGTCGTTCAAAAAAGATGAGTTCGACTATATCTTCTGGATATATTTTTTTTTGAAACTCTGCCATATCCTACCTCATTCTCCCAGGGAACATTGCAGGTTAACATGGTAACAAAATAGAAGAACTAATACATTTGTGTACATTGGACTAAATCCATGGACTTCTTTTGTTAGCTACTGAATGGAACAAGAGAATATACCGCAATGCATATGCTGTAACAATGTGTTTTCTGTAGTGTTTTGTCTCTTGTCTTTTTTAAACTTTGCAAGGATCCACAAAGGCTTAATAGTAGCATGTTTTCTAAGAACTTCATGACTCAGATCCATATTGTAGTAAAGCTATTAAAATTAATGGGGCTTACATTAATCATGACTCTCATTATTGAGTTGAATCTCATTAATTGAAATATGTCTATGTCTCTGGATCCAACAATATTTTAATTTACTTTGAAGCGAAATGAATGAAATGTGCCAGAGAAAGAATTGCCTAAACGTGTTCTTATTGTTGTTATGTGTTGTCAAGTTGCTTCCAATGTATGGCAATCTTAAAAACATTTTCAATGTACAGTACGTGAGATTTTTCAAGAAATGTTTTACCGCTGCAATCTCCAAGCAAATTTCCATGGCTGAAGAACAATCCAGGTCTTCTAGGGCCTAGTTTGATCTTCTGTCCACTATATCTCA